CAGGAATGCAAGTAGTTATGATTCCAGATGAAAATTTAAATCCAGACCTTAAAAAGGAGGCAACACTACTGCTGAACTCCATGGAGGATTTCAAACCAGAGCTGTTTGGTTTACCAGCGTATGATTAATGACTAACATCTGTGAACATGCACCTGACTGGAAATCGGGAAAGTAGAATGGAATTTTTTTAATGGTTTTTAGATTGCTTTGCATCTTTTCTTCAGAACCAGAGCACAAAAATCCTGTTAACACCAAGTCTTCCATACAGTACCTTTGAAAGTTGTCTGAAATGTTTGATTTGTCCTTGTGATAAACGCTAAAGTAAAGCAGCATTTTGTCTTGTGAACTCAAGCCAGCCTTGTTCTCTGCACATAATAATATTTTCTGGTGTGGTGGGTTGACCCTAGCTGGATGTGAGGTGCCCACCAAAGCCACTCTATCACTTCCCTCCTCAGCTGCACAGGGGAGACAAATTACAATAAAGGGCTTATAGGTTGAGATAAGGATGGAGAGATCACTCAGCAATTACCTTCATGGACAAAACAGACACGACTTGTGGAAATCAGTTTAATTTATTGCCAATCAAATCAGAATAGGATAATGAGAAATAAAACTAAATCTTAAAACACCTTCCTCCCACCCCTCCCTTCTCCCCAGGCTCAACTTTACTCCCAATTTTCTCTGCCTCTTCCCTGCCAGCGGCACAGGGGGACAGGACATAGTGGTTGAGGTCAGTTCATCATGTGTTGTCTCTGCAACTCCTTCCTCATCAGGGGCAGGACTCCTCATGCTTTTCTCCGGCTCCACTGTGGGGTCACTGACTCAAGAGCCAGTCCTTCATGAACTACTTCAGTGTGGGTCCTTCTCACAGGCTTCAGTTATTCATTAGCTGCTGCAGTGTAGTGCCTTCCACGGGATATCATCCTTCAGGAACAGACTGCTCCACTGTTGGTCCTGCATGGGGTCACAAATCCTACAAGCAAAACTGCTCCAGTGTGGGATTCTCTCCACATGAGTCCACAGGTCCTGCCTGGAGCTTGCTCCAGCACAGGCTTCCCATGGGGTCACAGTCTCCTTGGGCATCCACCTGCTCTGGCGTGGGGTCCTCCACAGGCTGCAGGTGAATATCTGCTCCACCATTAACGTCCATGGTCTACAGGGGAACAGCCTGCCTCACCATGGTCTTCACCACTGGCTGCAGGGCAATATGGACTTGGGCATCTGGAGCACCTCCCCCCTCCTTCACTGACCTTGGTGTCTGCAGGGTTGTTTCTCTCATGTATTATCACTGTTTTCTTCGGCTGCAATTGCTCTTGCGCAGTGGTTTTTCCTGCTTCCTACATACGTCATCACAGAGGCGGTGCCACCATCACTGATGGACGCAGCCTCAGCCAGTGATGGGTCCATTTTGGAGCTGGCTGGCGTTGGCTCTGTCAGACACAGGGGAAGCTTCTGGCACCTGCCCACAGAAGCCACCCCTGTTGCCCTCCTGCTACCAAAACTTTGCCTTGCAAACCAAATACATCTGGCAATATAATGAAACCATTTAGAAAATCTGTTGTAACTGTATTGGAAGCTTCTTGTTCTGTTTCCACTTGAACAGCTTACTGTTTAGAACTTAACCAGAAATCTGTTCTGGATTGGCTTTTGTCCCATCACATTGCTCTTGATACAGTTAACACTATCTACGTGTTTATCTATTTCCTCATCTTGTACTTGCCCATCTTTTCCCCTTTGTATTGTGGTTGGAGTTTTTTTTCTGTTATTTGCAGAGCCTTTGTTGTACTTCCTGTGTTATGTTTTTTTTTTTCTTGAGGGTTGAATGAGTTGACTTCCAAGGGTCCCATACAACTTCTGTTATTCTACAGTTCTGTCACGGTCTTTTTTAGTGTGGAGATCGATGGCTGAAAGCTATAGAAATTTGTGTGATCCTACAGTTTAACCAAAATGATTTGCATCTTCCTTCTTTCATTTCCTTATATTCTTCCCATTTTCTGTGTTGCCATGTGGCTTTCACTTTCATTCTTGTGAATGAATCCATCATGTCTCCCTTCTTCTATCTGATAAAGTTATGGCCTTAATTCCTTCATCTCCAAATAGTTTTCTGTAGACCATCCTCACTTTCCCATTCTTAACTCTTTCTTGAGCCTTTTTTTTTTTTTTTTTGCCAAATTTCTTACAAAGAGTTTTGCCATCTATTTTTGAAATACAGAAATTATAGTTTTATTGAGATACTTAAAAATTATTATTCTGGATATCACAATTTCCACAAAATCTTTATGTTGTCATCTCTGTCATTCTTACTTCCATTTCTGACATCTTGTCAGGACAAGGGTAGGGGTCTCTTTGGAAGATACTAGACATGTAGACAGGTTTTGGTGGAATACACAAGTATATGTATGATGTGATAGAGGCAATGTCTTTTACTTTGTCTAAACAACACTATATTACGTATGTTTTATGGCTGTTCTATAAAATGAATTATTGTATTCAGCATTCAAAAAAAAACAATTGGAGTGTTCATAAGGTACTCTAAAATCTTTGTAAAATATCAAACTCCATGAAGAAAAGGACCGTGAAATGTGTCAAATAAGAGAATTTCCATGTATTATGAGACTTCTCTGATCCTAATTTTTGCTTAAATATCATCTGTTTATCTGTGATATTCATCACAAAAAATCTTTCTAGACATTGCTGGTTTTTAACTCTTTTAGGTTTAAAGTTTTTTTCATCAGGACAAAAATTAGTGAATCATAGACCCTTCAGTTTTCAGAGTTAGTTTCCTTACATTTTATCCTCCTGGATCTAAAAAAAAAAACTTTTACATCGTCTATGTAGACTGTTAATATTTTCTCTTCCTGTAGTCTGTTCATGCCTAAAAAAGTAAAGAAAATTTTATTCCATGTCGTCAGTCAAATATGACCTGGATGGTACCAGAAGATTTTAGTATATTCAGTAGAATGGTTTGTAGTTAAATGCTTTTCTTCTAAGGATTAAGAACATTTTTTTTTTTTTTTAAGGGTAAATATTGTTTCAGTGTAGGTATTTTGTATATTATTTCTTTAGGCCCCTGGATATTGCAGTTATTTGTGTTTGTACAGTGACAACTCATCCTGTCCAATATTAATTCTGTTTCTGGTCTTTCCAGACAAGATAACAGAAATATTGCTGTATAATTCCTCCTTTGACTTATGTTACATAACACAAAGTGTTACTGTAGAGCAATAATTTCTGAGCTTTCAAGTGTGAAACAGGTGCCTGTTGAGATCTCCTTCATTTATAATTATTGAATTCCAGCAGGGAAGTTTGTAGGTAGAGCAAGCTTTAATAAGCTGTAATTAGTAACTTTTTCAAAATTTTGCATACATTTCATTTAACTGGGGAGTTTAAAAAAAAAAAATTAAGCACATCTCATTTACAGTTTTCTTCGAAGGAACTGTCATCAAGTTCTTAATTTTCTTTTTAAAGACATAGAGATATTAATAGATAGATCAGTGACAAAATCAGAATTACATCATGACCACCATGATGAGATCAGTATATCCTGCAATTGTAATTTTAAAACCTTATCTTTTGCTGACAATTTTCAGGAAACTATCCCTTCTTAACTCAACAGTAAATGCTATCCTATACAATTATTCTTCCGTGCATTTAGTGTCCCACCTGACACTTGTCAGTGAGATTATTGCCTCAAACTGAAATCTGTGAACCTGAGCTCTATGGTATAACCTTCCCCTCCTTTTAGTAAAATTCCCTTTAATGTACTTTACTGCTTGCTCTTGGCCAACTTCCTGATCCTGTGCTGAACCATTTGACTGTTATTAAATTAAGTATCGGTGTTGTGGTTAGTTTTTCTCTTGTCTGAATAAGAAATTAAAAGAGTACACAAAATTAAATTCTTAACTACAGTAATCTTAAAAATCATGCTCTCTCCATCATATGTGAGATGGATATTCCTGTCAGCAGCAAGTGACTGTGGCCTGCTGTCACGGCCCCCTCAACTCTGCGGATGCGTGATGGTGCATTTGCTGCGATCTCAAAGTGCAAAAGAAAATTTGGAAGGGGAGTTTTATTTCAATCAAACAGTGAAACTTTATTGTGTGCCCGTAAAGCAACGTGTGACAGGAAAGGTAGAGGGGGAAAGAGAGTAATAGCTCCCACTGTGGGTCCAAGGCGTCCCTATGGTCCCAGGTCCTTGCGGCGTCCCGCTGGTCCTTCTGATCGTCGTGATCCTCGGTGGGGAAAGCTTCCCAAGTTGGGTTGCTAAGAAGCCATCTCTCCTGCCAGGTGATGCCCCTTGCTCCTCCTCTTCCCCCTTCCCCCCCTCCGTCCCTTTGCACCCCTGCCAGTCTCCGCCTTCCTCCTGTCTGCCATCTCGAGTGAGGCTACCACACGTGCCCAGGGAGGAGTGTCCGAGGCAGGGAGCTTTTGCCCAGGAGGTGTGTTTTCATATTATAATGATCTGTGATTTCTTCATCAGTGCTGAGATACCAATCTTCCTTAACAATAGGTAGGCAGTTTAATTGAGCAGCTCCAGCTCCCCAGGTAGCGCAGGATAGCACAGGGCAGTACATGGCACAGCACAGCACAGCACAGGACATGTTCTGGCTCCATCCCAGGGCGTCTGCACCTTTGTATCCATAGGAACCCCATTCCATTCCAGGGATGGGTAACTGTGTCTCAGGCAGGCTGCTGCAGACTCTTGTCAAGATGTTAGCCTGAGTTTCGGGGTACCTGGTTGTCCAAGTCTCTGATGACAAGGTTGAGACGATACTCCTCTTCTGACCAACTCTTATACCTGCCTACTAGCCATATACCAAATATGTTTATATATATTTCTTTACTCACTTTTTGGTTAGATTTGTGGCTCTGTAGTCTATCATCTCAACAACATCTGTTCAAAAAGAAAAATAAAAAAAAAGGATTAAAAACTTGGATCACTTCCCTTCCTTCCATCTGCTGGTTTACAGATGAAGTCCTGTTCTGACTGAACTAAAAAAATCTGTAGCAGATCCTGGCTACAGATCATGAGGACATGTGAGCAATCAGAACATTTAAATGCACATTTCTATATGAAGAGGACTGCCAAAATTTAGTTCAAAATCTTCTCTAACTCAACAAGCAGCCT